ATTACAGGCGTGAACCACCACGCCTGGCCTTTAACATCCTTTTATTGTAACACTTATCTCATTGTTTTGAAATAGCTTATACTTATTTGTGTCTCTAATAGGCAGTCAAATTCATCTTTATAGCACTAGCAACTATACAAGTTCTGTACACCTGTTTTGTTTTTTTTTTCTTTTAATAAAATGAAGTCAACACTTGATTTAACCAAACCTTGATTTCCAAGGATTGAGTAATGTGAGATTTCCAGTGCAGCGGTGGGAGAGGCTTGGAGTCTGAGCAGAGGCCTTGGAGTCCCTCCAATTATGTATCTTCTTTGCCTTTGCACTAAATAGTATCACTGTCCTCCCAATTGCTTAAGGAAACAACCTGGGAGTCACCTTGTTTACTAGCTTTCTTCACACCTGCACCTCAGGAAAATATCCTGAAATCTTTTCACTTCCATTTCCACAGCAACCAACCTAGTCCAGGTGCCACCATCTACCCTGTGAACTCGCCCAATACCTTTGTATTGTTCTTTAGCTGCTTTTTTTAAGTTCCAATTCCCAGAAATGGAACCATTTTTGCTCCCTTCCAAGTCATTCTTTATAAAATAGGTTGATTTATCATCTTGAATTGTAATAAAAAAAAATTGCTTATAGCCATTACTGAAAGAAAAAGAAAAAAAAAATAGGTTGTTTAAAAAAAAACCACAAATCACTGCCTAGGCACAGTGGCTCATGCCTGTAATCCCAGCACTTTGAGAGGCTGAGGCAGGAGGATCACTGAAGCCCAAGACCAGCCTGGGCAACCCAGTGAAACCCCATCTCATTTTTTTTTTTTTTTTTTTTTTGAGACGGAGTTTCGCTCTTGTTACCCAGGCTGGAGTGCAATGGCGCAATCTCGGCTCACTGCAACCTCCGCCTCCTGGGCTCAGGCAATTCTCCTGCCTCAGCCTCCTAAGTAGCTGGGATTACAGGCATGCGCCACCACGCCCAGCTAGTTTTTTGTATTTTTTTAGTAGAGATGGGGTTTCACCATGTTGACCAGGATGATCTCGATCTCTCGACCTTGTGATCCACCCGCCTCAGCCTCCCAAAGTGCTGGGATTACAGGCTTGAGCCACCGTGCCCGGCTCTTTTTTTTTTTTTTTTTTTTTTTTTTTTTGAGGCAGAGTCTCACTCTGTTGCCTAGATTGGAGTGCAATGGCAAAATCTCTGCTCACTGCAACCTCTACCTCCCAGGTTCAAGCAATTCTCCTACCTCAGCCTCCTGAGTAGCTGGGATTACAGGCAGGTGCCATCACACCTGGCTAATTTTTTTTTGTGTTTTTAGTAGAGATGGGGTTTTACCATATTGGCCGGGCTGGTCTTGAACTCCTGAGCTTGTGATCCACCTGCCTTGGCCTCCCAAAGTACTGGGATTACAGGTGTGAGTCACTGCACCCAGCCAAGAACCCCCATCAAAAATACAAAAATGAGCAGGGTGTGGTGGTGCCTGCCTGTAGTCCCAGCTACTAGAGTAGCTGAGGTGGGAGGATGGCTTAGCGAATCTGGGGAGGTAGAGGCTGCAGTGAGCCCTGATTGTGCCACTGCACTCCAGTCTGGGTGACAGAGTGAGACCGCATCTCAAAACAACAACAAAAACCGAAATCCTTCATTATCTTGCCTTTTGTACTTAACAAAAAAATCCAAACAACGTGAATAGATTCCTGCTTAATGCTCCAAACTCAACTTCAACCCCCTACTTAATGTTCTCAAGCCTCAAACAGCCATGCTTCAGCATCAGCCACAGTTCAGCATCCAGGCCTTCACACCCATTATTCTCTGTCTAGAATGTTCTTCCCCAATCCCGGTTGGCCTGGCCAGCAACTTCTCGTCTTTTAGGTCTTAGCTCCTAAATTGCCTCCTCAGAAAGTCCTTTCTGGACCATTCTGTTTTGTTTTCTACTCAGCACGTATCACTGCCTGTGATTATCTCATCTGTTTGTTTTATTATTTATGTTCTCCATTAGAAACATAAGCTTTTGTTTGTTTGTTTGGGACAGAGTCCCACTCTGTCGACCAGGCTGCAGTGCAGTGGCTGATTATTTGGTTCACTGCATCCTCTGGCCCTCACCCCCGGAGGCTGGATTTTTTTTGTTAAGTACAAAGGCAAGATAATGAAGGATTTGGGTTTTGTTGTTGTTTTGTCTCACTCTGTCACCCAGGCTGGAGTGCAGTGGCACGATCAGGGCTCACTGAAGCCTCTACCTCCCCAGGCTCAATTTTATACAAGCAATTTTCCTGCCTCAGCCTCCCGAGTAGCTGGGACCACAGGTGCATGCCACAATTCCCAGCAATTTTTTTTTTTTTTTTTTTTTTTTAATTCTAGGTTGGGTGCAGTGGCTCGTGCCTGTAATCCCAGCACTTTGGGAGACCGACGTGGGCAGATCCCCTGAGGTCGGGAGTTTGAGACCAGCCTGACCAACATGGGGGACACCCCGTCTCTACTGAAAATACAAAATGAGCCAGGCGTGGTGCTTCATGCCTGTAATCCCAGTTACTCAGGAGGCTGAGGCAGGAGAATGGCTTGAACCCGGGAGGTGGAGGTTGCAGTGAGCCGAAATCGCACCATTGCATTCCAGCCTGGGCAACAGAGGGAAACTCCATCTCAAAAAAAAAAAAAAAAAAAAAAAAAGAATTCTGTAGAGAGGGGGTCTTACTACTCTGCTCAGACTGGTCTTGGACTCCTGGCCTCAAAGTGATCTTCCTGCCTCAGCTTCCCAAAGTGCTGGGATTATAGGCTTGAGGCACCTGTTTGTTTGTTTCCTTTTTATTTTTATTTTTTGAGATGGAGTTTCACTCTTGTTGCCCAGGCTGGAGTACAATGGCACAATATTGGCTCACTGGAACTTCTGCCTTCCAGGTTCAAACAATTCTCCTGCCTCAGCCTCCCCAGTAGCTGGGATCACAGGCACACGACACCATGCCTGGCTAATTTTGTATTGTTAGTAGAGATGGTTTTTTTTTTTATGTTAGTCAGGCTGGTCTCGAACTCCTGACCTCAGGTGATCCACCTGCCTCGGCCTCCCAAAGTGCTGGGATTACAGTGTGAGCCACCATGCCTGGACAGTTTGTTTCCTTTCATACATAATCCTGCAGAACATAAGCCTCTAAGTACAGGGGCTTCTTCTCTTTTATTCACCACTGTATTTCTAGCACCAAGAACATTATCAACATTTTTTTTTTTTTTTTGAGATGGAGTCTTGCTCTGTAGCCCAGGCTGGAGTGCAGTGGCATGATCTTGGCACTCCAGTGGCATGATCTCGGTTGCTCACTGCAACCTCTGCCTCCCCGGTCTCAGTTCAAGCAGTTCTCCTACCTCAGCCTCCCAAATAGCTGGGATTACAGTCATGAGCCACCATGGCCAAGTCATTTTTGTATTTTTTAGTAGAGATGGGATTTCACCATGTTGGCCAGTCTGGCCTTGAACTCCTGACCTCGTGATCCGCCCATGTTGGCCTCCCAAAGTCCTGGGATTACAGGTGTGAGCCACTGCGCCAGGCCTATCAACATTTTTTGAATGTGTGAATCCAACAGTGAAAAGGCAAGTCATCTTGGTGTATATAGAAGGTGGCCAACAGAGTTCCAACAGAAATGAGTCCCTATGTTCCTACTGCTCTATAACTAGTGGGAGGGGTGAGGGGAAGCAGCTGGAATCTATCAGACCCTGTCACCAACTAGTAGGTACACGTGGCAATCACAGTTGTAGAAGAGGCCAAACAGAGGAGGTCTACCAATGACAGCCAGTCCCAGACTCAACTGGACGCTGAGGCCAGTTCTGCTTTGGAGTGAACAGTGTAGCCTGCTGGGTGGTCAAGGGAATGTGTACAAACCCACGTTGTTTAAAGGACCACAGAGAGCAGTCAGTTTTGTTAAACTTTATCCGTTTGTTCAGGGATTCCTGTCCTGGAGAAGAGTGGGGAAGAAGTGGTTAGCCAGGCCAGGCTACAGGTTATTAGTTTGCAGGCTGTGAGTTCGACTCTTCAATCTCTGCTCCTCTCATCATTGCCTTTTCACCAACCTTTACCCTAAATTCACCTGCAGCTCTGCCTTCACAAATTCCAAGCAATTACTGTTGTATTTAATCTCTGTCCCAAATCTCTCTGCATCATTCTTCCTTTGATTATGAAGTCAGAGGCCCTTTATTTAATTGATTTATTTATTTGAGGAGTTTCGCTCCTGTTGCCCAGGCTGGAGTGCAATGGCACAATTTTGGCTCACTGCATCCTCTGGCGTCTGGGTTCAAGCAATCCTCCTGCCTCAGCCTGCTGAATAGCTGGGATTACAGGCGCACGCCACCAGGCCCGGCTAATTTTTTATATTCAGTAGAGGTGGGGTTTCACCATGTTGGTCAGGCTGATCTTGAACTCCTGACCTCAGGTGTCCACCTGCCTAGGCCTCTCAAAGTGCTGGGATTACAGGCGTGAGCCACGGTGCCCAGCCTCAAGGGTCCAGCCTCAATGGCTCTTAGTTGTCACATTATTTCGTGTGTTTTATTATTTGGTGCAGGTTTTCTGTCTCCTTATCTAGTTTGAATGTTGCTGAAGGGCACTGGTTTTCAAAGCATTAGGCATCTCCGGATAAAGGCACGAATCTTGGTGTGCAGATAAGCCAGGGATTCTTGCTTCTGGCCAGTAGTTCTACGATGTGCCTGGATGGTCAGTTCAAACTGCAATGATACACAGCTCCAAAAACGGCTTCTGCCAGTCGGCCTAGGAGCCAAACGCCCCGGAGCTCCACGCTGCCACGCATGGTGCGGTTTCGGACTTGCAGGGAGTTGTCGTAGTCCGGTTTCGGCTGCACTTTCTACCGCTAGGGTGGAAGTGTCAAGCAAGATGTTGTCGCCCGTGTCATGTTGTGCGGGTGAGAAGCTTCCCTGGCAGGCCGCCAGGGCCAGCTAAGTGCACCGGCGCCGGGAACTCGCGCGCCCGGGAAGGGGCGGGGCGGTGGGCGGAGCGTGGCAACCTCGGGACCACCAATAGGATGCTCAGCCGGCGCTGGCCTGCGCGTGACGCAGCGGAGCTGGGAGGCTGGGGGCGTAGGGGCCGGGCCGCCCAGCGCTTTATCCTTCTCTGCCGCCCGGCCCGCGACGTTGCGGGCCCTGGGCGCCAGAGAGCTTCCCGGAGCCGACCTTCCCGCCGGCTGCTCTGTGGTCGCTTCCTGGCCCTGCCTTCTTGGCCGAAGTCCCCGCTGCTGGGCGCGGGCCTCAGGTAACGGTGGTGCTCCGGTGCCGCTCCTTGCTACCCGCCTGGGTCCCACCGGCCTCAGCCCGCGGGGAAGGGAGAAACGGTGGCGGCGGCAGCTCCGGCCGGGCCTTGTCCTGGGCTGCCCTGCGGGGAGGTTGAGACTCGGCGGGTGCCAGAGAGTTGGGGAGGAGAGGGCGGGAAAGTTACCATCAGGCGCCCGGCTCACGGGCAGCCTTTTAAACCCTGCACGCTGGTTTGGTGTTCCCCAAATCGCGTGGCATCTCTCAAGTCGGTAGTAAAGAAAGTTAGGAATTAGAAGACGTTTTATTCTTTAAAAAACGAAACCAAAAATGCACTCAGGAAGTCAGCTTTTCAGTGATTTAGGGAAAATGTGTGAAGGGAAAGATAGCATTAGTAAGACACGAAAATCTGCATGAGCACTAGAACCTTTAATAAAGCTAATGTTTTATTTTAAAATATTAGGATGTATATAAGTTTCTGTTTTCCTTAACTATTAATGGCCGTGTAGTTTAAATAATATGTATATTGTAAGATTGATTATAAGTGAGAAACAACTATTTAAACTTTATTCTCTATTTATATATAGGTTAAGTTCGTTGGTCACTTTTTTTTTTTTTTGAGATGGGGTCTAGCTTTGTTGTCCAGGCTGGAGTGCAGTGGTGCCATCTTGGCTCACTGCAACCTCTGCCTCCTGGGTTCAAGCGATTCTCCTGCCTTAGCCTCCTGAGTAACTGGGATTGCAGGCATGCGCCACCACGCCCAGCTAATTTTTGTATTTTTGGTAGAGGCAAGATTTCATCGTTTTGGACCAGGCTGGTCTCGAACTCCTGACCTCAAGTGATCCACCTGTCTCAGCCTCCCAAAGTGCTGGTATTACAGGCGTGAGCCACCGCGTCCAACCCGTTGGTCACTTTTTAATATTTAAGTGGCCCGCTACCTGTTTACTTTTTTTTTTCCCCAGAAAACTTGGTTTCCTCTTCCTTGAAGTAGAATTCAATTTGAAACCTTTTTTTTTCTTTTTTCTTTTTTGGCTTTTTAAAAGTTGGGCAGTGTCAGTTGTCTGGGTGTGAGAATGGGTTTCGGAAGGAGCTCCGTGGCATTGATTTATCGTTTAGAAATGTAACGTGTTGGCCGGGCGCGGTGGCTCAAGCCTGTAATCCCAGCACTTTGGGAGGCTGAGACGGGTGGATCACGAGGTCAAGAGATCGAGACCATCCTGGTCAACATGGTGAAACCTCGTCTCTACTAAAAATACTAAAAATCAGCTGGGCATGGTGGCACGTGCCTGTAATCCCAGCTACTCAGGAGGCTGAGGCAGGAGAATTGCTTGAACCCAGGAGGAGGAGGTTGCGGTGAGCCGAGATCGCGCCATTGCACTCCAGCCTGGGTAACAAGAGCGAAACTCCGTCTCAAAAAAAAAAAAAAAAAAAAAAAAAAAAAAGAAATGCAACGTGTTTTAGTGAATCACATGCTTAGAACCCATCTGAGGTTTCACACTCTTTTATGACAAAGATCAGAGGACTGAGTGAGCCCACTCGTTCTGTCTCTAGTTTATTTGGCCCACTTTCCTTCTTTCTCTCCAGGTTCATGCCACACTGATTTTATTTTTGTTACTGAAAAGCTTCATTCTCTTTCCTATCTCCTGGCCTTTAGGAGTTTCCTCTACCTCTAATGCTGTATTATCTCCCTCCCTCCAACTCTTACACCTGCCTCAGATATCAGCCCACATATCACTTCCTCTGGAAACCACCCCATCCCCATTAAGCCCTCCTTGAACTCTTTTTTTTTTTTTGACACAGAATCTCCCTCTGTCACCCAGGCTGGAGTGCAGTGGCTCGGATCTCGGCTCAGTGCAACATCCCCCTCCGGGGTTAAAGTGATATTCCTGCCTCAGCCTCCTGAGTAGATGGGATTACAGGAATGCGCCACCACGCCCGGCTAATTTTTTGTATTTTTAGTACAGATGGGGTTTCACCATGTTGGTCAGGCTGCTCTCCAACTCCTGACCTCGTGATCTGGGTGCCTTAACCTCCCAAAGTGCTGGGATTACAGGCATGAAGCCACTCTGCCCAGCAAAAGGATGGCTGCTGCTTTTGGCTTTTATCTGTGCCTCTTTTTATCATTTTCTTTCTTTCCTTTTTTTTTTTTTTTTTTTTTTTTTTAGTAGAGACCGGGTTTCATCATGTTGACCAGGATGGTCTCGATCTCTTGACCTCGTGATCCACCCGCCTCAGCCTCCCAGAGTGCTGGGATTACAGGCTTGAGCCACTGCACCCGGCCCCCTCTTTCTTTTTTTTGAGACGGGGTTTCACAATGTTGGCCAGGATGGTCTCGATCTCTTGACCTTGTGATCTGTCTGCCTCGGCCTCCCAAAGTGTTGAGATTACAGGCCTGAGCCACCACATCCAGCTCAATCTGCACCCTTAAACTCTTTATTCTCCTTAGCAGAAGTTAATAATTAATTGTAATGAAGTAGATACATTAATTGTTTCCTCTGCTAGTGCATTTCATGAAGGCTAGGCCAGCCTATTTTATCTCTTAATTCTCAGGGTCTGGCCCAGCATTTGGCCCAATGAAAGAATGAATAAGTTGGTGGACAGAGGAAAAACTTTTGAATGAGAAATACAGTGATCCCAACTTAGCTGCTTTCTGTAGATTCAGCTACCTGAGGTCTGAAACAGTACAATAAGACATTTCAATAGAGACCATGTTCAAGTAAATTTTAATCTATTGTTGTTAATCTCTTACTGTGCATAACTTTTTTGAAACTTTTTTTTTTTTTTCCCGGAAGGGGCAAACATCTGAACAGTATCAGAGGGTAAGATTCATTCTTTGTACCATCATTTCCTTTTTTTTTTTTTAAAGAAAAAAAAATAATAATAAAGAATGAAGGAGAGGAAGGAAGAGGAAGAGGGAGAGAGAACGGGGGTGTTGCTTTATTGCCCGGGCTAGAATGCAGTCTACAAATGGGTATTCCTATAACTGTGCTTAATAATGAACACACGAAAAAAATGAGGGAAGAAAATAACAAACAAGCAGCCAACCAGTATCTCATTTAAACCTGTAAGTAGGTGTGATGTGGTACTGATAAGAGTGTGTATTTTGTGTATTTAAAGTGGAGAGTTCTATAAATGTTAATTAAGTTTACTTGTTCTGGATCTGAGTTCAAGTCCTAGATATTGTTGTTAATTTTTTGTCTCATCGATCTGTTTAATATTGATGTCGAAGTCTTCCACTGTTATTGGGAAACTTAATAATAATATATGTGAGTTTAATACTGCCATTTAATGTTAGCTGGCTGTTTTGCCCATTAGTTGAAGTAAATTCTTCATTATGTTGATGCTCTTTACTTTTTGGTATTTTTTAGAAAGGCTGATACTGGTTGTTCCTTTCTATGTGTAGTGGTTCTTTCAGAAGCTTTTGTAAAGGAGGCCTGGTGGTGATGAAATCTCTGAGTGCTTGCTTGTTCACAAAAAATTTTATTTTTCCTTCGCTTATGAAGCTTAGTTTGGCTGGTTGTGAAATTCTGGGTTGAAAGTTCTTTTCTTTAAGGATGAATATTGGCCCCCACTCTCTTCTGGCTTGTAGGAAACTTTTTTTTTTTTTTCCCAAGACGGAGTCTCGCTCTGTCACCCAGGCTGGAGTGCATTGGCACAATCTCGCCTCACTGCAGCCTCCACCTACTGGGTTCAAGAGATTCTCATGCCCCAGCCTCCAAAGTATCTGAGATTACAGGTGTGTGCCACCATGCCCAGCTTATTTTTGTATTTTTAGTAGAGACAGGGTTTCACCATGTTGGCCAGACTGGTCTCGAACTCCTGACCTCAAGTATTCCGCCCATCTCGGCCTCCCAAACTGCTGGGATTACAGGGGTGAACCACTGCGCCCAGCCTGTAAATGAAACTTTATAATAGGTATGTATAGGAAACAACAGTGTGTGTTGGGTTCACTGCTATCCCACGGTTCTAGGCATCTGCTGGGATTCTTCCACTGTATCCCCTGTAGATATAGAACTACTGTATTAACCAAGGAAGAGTCCCTTTTTCCTATGGGAAAAAAAGTCGAGAAAGTTTTAAACAAAGGCTAGCCAAGTTCCATTTTTCTAAGAGGATGGCTTTGTTTTGAATTTTGCCACATTGGCTAAGAGATTATACAAACCATACTGATGTAAATGAGAATTTGTTCTTGTTCTTTAGTTTTGCTAATTCCTTAATGACCCAGTTCTGTGATATGTAAAAGCATTGTATTAGGGCAAACCTTTGGGTGCAAGAGGGAACATTTTTTTGCTCTGGATTGTAAATTCTATCCATCGTTGTTTCCCTTTTTCCCCACTGAACCTGAGGGTGATGTGGCACAGTTCTTCACTCAGTAGGCACTCATTATTGTGATCCAGATTTATGGGCTCTTTTGAAAGCTTTGTTAATGGGAACACGGCAGGCAGGCTAAAGTTTTTCTGAGTTCATTTGTTTCTCAAGTCAGTTCTTTTTGTTTCTTAAGGTAAGTTAGATGCTTATCACAGTGACCATTATGTAATTGCATGCACAGATTAGATTCTTAAGAAATTCTTGTTCAGTCAGTGTGTTACATGAATAGCTGTCTAGTCAGCTTTATGTTACCTGGGAGGGAAATTTTTCGATTGCCACTTAACTCGCCGTGTGACTTTGATCAAGTTTGTTAGCATTTCTGAATCTCCTGCAGCTTTAAAAATGGACATGTTAAATGAGATATGTGTTACACCTACTGCCCTCAACGCTTTGTTACCTGCTTTCTAAACACCTAAACACTAGATTCCTTCACTGCTAGACCTCTTGAGAGACTAGTCTCATGATCACGGTTTTCACTTCCTCACTTACCGCAGCTTACTCCAATATATTTCTTGTCCTTCCTCCTAAAACTACATGTAATCAAGTCATAACTATTACTGTCCTTCAGTTGCGAAATATCTCATGTCCTGTCCTCCCCCCTCTTTTTTCTATTTTTTGAGATGGAGTCTGGCTCTGTTG